TTATTGTAGTTGTAAGTGCACTGTCTTGCGGCCTGAAGCACCATCCTTGATGGAGCATAGTGTAAAGTGCTAGTGGAGTGAGCAGAGTTGTCGATTCTTGTTCAGTTTTCTGTGACTATCTTCCTCACCCTCTCAGACTTTCAGTGGAAACAGTCGTGAGTGAATCTGATTTTTTCAGAAATGCGGGAGAAGTATGACCCCGGGAGGAAACCGGGAGAGGGCAATGAAATTGGGAGTCTCCCGCGAAAATCGGGAGGGTTGGCAAGTATGCCCATGGTGTTCCCGGTCAATTAGTAACCATCCGGATCAGAATATTCGAATATTCGCTGCTGATTACTACCGAATATCCGGAGCCCGAAAAATGGTATTCGGGACAGCCCTACTGTCCAGTAAAGTTAGTGCATGTAAAGTAACACGTCAAACTGTCAAAAATATTGATTATTTTATCTGTTAACGTTTAAATATCTACTCCACTGCATCTCATGGTAAATATTGTATTCACAGCATCAAAATTCAACAATAAACAATAATTATTAATCTACAAACATTATATATAATAGTGAGCCACTGCCAGGGAACAATTTACGACAACATCAATACTATTACTTGCATACTTCAAGTCAATTATGCTTATAATAGTTATATAATGTTATTTAAGTAATTCTCCGGCCGAAGCTCCAAATAAACCGTCAGTGTTTGCCATCAAAGCTCCAGCTCTCCTCGTGTCTCTCCGAGTCCTGACTCCAATTGCTTCAGAAGTTTCCCCCACAGGTGTTATAATGCCTACTTTCATTTAGGGGATTTTCACAGTGTAGCATTTGTATTTATATCTGACTACTTCTCCTACAACTGTCCAGTATGAAGTACTTGATATCTTTGTGTATTTAAAGTGTTTGTTGTGAGTTTACCTTGAATTCCCCGATCACAGCATCAGTTCTGAGAGAGCGAGAGTCACACACCTGTCGGGCAGGTAAAGAAAAATGTGCTTTTCTTACATTTAACACAACAGGAAAGCTTTATCTAAATATTGAAACGGAGATATAAAAACTCACAGTGATGAAGATCGGCTCGTCAAACAGATCGGAAGGAGTCTCGTAGAAGTTCATGAAGAACGTCTGCGGAGAGGAAAACAATCGAGCTGCAGTTTGACGGTTAAATTAGCGTTTTTATATTAATTATATTATTGTTTTTACCTCGTCAAAGACCGGGTTGTTTCCCTTTCTGATGCGAGTCCTCTTGTTCTGCCCGGCAACCGTAACCTTAACAACAGGTTTGATGTGGATGCCCGGCAGCTGTCGTCCCTCGATGACGCGCACACGGACCTGAGTGGCACCATACGAAGATTATTTTTTGGGTCATTTTCAGCATATAAATCCTATAAAGTAGGTCGGTTTGCAACTTAACATTTTCTAAAATAATAGTTATTTGTAAAAAGTTTAATTATCTGTAAGAATAATAATTTTTAAGTGCTTTTTTGTTTGTTAATTGTTTTCTTATCATGCGACTTTAACTATACTTTTACTTTTACTAGCATTATCCCTATCTTGACTTAAGTTAAATTATAAAGGCAATTATTTTACTAGATGATATTTACAGTCTGCTATAGATGAGAGTAACAAATGCGTCACTTCCGGGCAAAAATAACGGCTCCGCCCACTTTTGGGGGAAAACAATGCTGTCAGTTGAACGGCGGTCAATACAAATTCTGAAGTTTTTTCCAATCCGATCAGAAATGTAAGAAAACCGGAGATTTTTGGATCTTCAAAGAGCCCGATTCCAATGGCCAGACAGGCAAACAATTGCATTAAGCCATTAGAAATCGACGATCGGGCTCGATATATGGTTAAATATAGCAGTAGGCTATCGATTTTCATAGATGAGAGTAACATCTACGTCACTTTACGGCCCCGCCCAATTTTGGGGGAAACAACGGCTGTCATTTGAATGGCGATCGAGCCTGAAGCCACAGAGATCTTCTGTTACTGTCCTTTCTTCTTAGAGGAAGTACAGAAACACATAACTCTGGATTTGTTTTAATGTTTGAGGTGCAATAAATGACACAGCAGCTTTTTGGCATGACAAAACTATTATGTTCCGCCTCACTCATGAGAGTAACAGCTGGAGAAATTACAGCCTCGCCTACTGATTTTAATTTAACCATATATCAAGACCGATTGTCGATTACCAATGATCGAATGTAATTGTTTGCCTGACTGGCCATCGTAATCGAGCTCTTTGAATATCCAAAAATCCACGGTTTTCAAACATTTTTGATCAGATTGGCAAAAACTTCAGAATTTGTATTGACCGCCATTCAAATGACAGCGTTGTTTTCCCCCAAAACTGGGCGGGGCCGTAATTTTTGCCCGGACGTGACTTAGGTGTTACGGTACGTCCACACAGCAGCTTTAAAAAAATCTTCCAACGCTTCCAACGCTTCTCTGCCCATTGACTTTGAATGGGGATGACGTCACTTTGCCTCGCTTTTCGCCGAACTGCATTGTGGGGAAGCAAAGCGAAGATTTCCAGGATTTCCAGGATTTTCAGGATTCAAAAGTTGAGCAATGTTCAACTTTTGAAG